CTTTGTTTTGTATGGAAATTGTTAATAAAAGTGATTTTTTTTTTAACCATTGTATCTAGAATTTGTTCCTGTTGCAAAAAAATAAAAAAAATAAATAAAAGTGGAAAATGTATTTCCACCAAATAGGTGGGAAAATAAAATCAAGCTTTTGTGCATCAAAGGATTGTACCTAAAAAAGGTGAAAAACATTTTGCCAGGAAAATTTGTTCTATCAAACACCCTTAATTGGCTAAAGTTATAAAATATTTTCCTTTTCCACCCATTTTTTAGGCTATCAAACGGACCCTTAGATTATTAGATGACATGTAAATTTAATATTTATTCTTCGTTTAGAAATTTTATTTGAGAGTTTTCATTCTATTTCCATATACATGCAATTTTATTCAGTGTTTAGTAATCTTGACACGACACACCAAAATTTCTGGCATCTGGCCAATTTTCTATATGGAAAAAGGATCACCATGTCCATAAAGAAAAGATTTATTTCCAATTGGAAGAATCATCAAATAGGACAATTCGAAAATACAATCATGCCAAGTGTTCATGTTTTTTTACGTTGTATCATGCGATAACACATGATTGGACAATTTTTTTTAAAACACTTTTCTGCCCAACACGTTTTGAATTCTCACACAATGTACACCATGACATAACTAATGGAATGTACACTTAGGGTCCGTTTGATTGTAAGGGTGAAAAATAGGTGGAAAGAAAATGTTTTATAGGGAATTAATTTTTCTAGAAAATGTTTTACTGGGAATTGTAATTAATTGTGTTTGATTGGTATAATTTTTCATGGAAAATGTTGAAAGTTTGATATCCATTTGACTTCGTTTTTTATGGAATTTGTTCATTAAAGTGATAATTTTTTCTACTATTGGGTCTAAAATTTGTTTCAATTGTAAAAAAAAAAATTTGGAAAAAAAAAATTACCACATCGAATATCATTCTTTTGACTTTGTTTTGCATGGAAGTTATTAATAAAAGTAATTTTTTTAAAACCATTGTATCTAGAATTTGTTCCTGTTGCAAAAAAAAAAATAAATAAATAAAGGTGGAAAATGTATTTCCACCAAATAGGTGGGAAAATAAATCAAGCTTTTGTGCATCAAAAGATTGTACCTAAAAAAAGGTGAAACATTTTGCCAGGAATATTTGTTCTATCAAACACCCTTAATTGGCTAAAGTTATAAAATATTTTCCTTTTCCACCCATTTTTTAGGCTATCAAACGGACCCTTAGATTATTAGATGACATGTAAATTTAATATTTATTCTTCGTTTAGAAATTTTATTTTTGGCTAAAGTTAAAAAATATTTTCTTTTTCCACCCATTTTCTAGGCTATCAAACGGATCCTTGTATAAGTCTAAAAATAGTCACAAATCTCTCTGAGTCGTAAGACTTGAATTTGTTACTAGTAATTGCATCTTGGTTCACATCTACGTGCCTAAGCTTAATTTTAGCAAAAAGCGAGTAACTATGCCTCTGTTTGGGTGAGGAATAAAATCAAATTTTTAGTAGATTTTGATAAAATTTGATGAGATGTATGGTTGAAAAATTGTGAGTCTCATAGATCTTGACATCTTGTAGTTAAAATTAGTTAATTTTAATTTAAATTAAAATTGAATTTGAATTTTTATCACCTATAGAAATATACTATTTAAATCAGAAAATGAAATTTCATTCTAATTCAAATTCTGATGTCATATTTGATGGGATAGACAAAACAGTTCAACAACATCGTCGTTTGATTTTAGACGTGTCTTGGCCGTGGGCACAAATTTATTAGGGACAGCTAAGAGTTGCAACTGTCAACTTGGATGTCCACATGTTTTTCTTGATTATTAGCTGCTATAAACCAATCATTTTAGAGGTTGAATTTCTATCTGTTTCTCAATCTTGTAGTTATTTTGGACCCACTCTTGTAGCATTTTTTGAATTTTTGTGAAAAATAATCTAAATTCTAATACTTGCTTTTAAGTGGCTGAGGTCTCGATGAAGTTTGAAGTGATTTAAAAACGAGGTTGAAAGTCTGGGAGAATTCGAAGTCGATTGAAATGTCCACATGATGAAAAGTTGCCTCACTATTGAAGTTCTCGATTTCCTACTCAAGAATGATGCATAATGCTCTCAAGGTGCTCGATATTATGCATTCAAAGATAGGATGATCGAATCCGTGACATGAAATTGCATGGTGAATCGGTAATGAACATATAAATTATATAGGTATAACTAATAAACAAAACTCTATTGCGACTCTTATATATAAATGGTGGAGCTGAGTTCGCATTTTTTAGTGCAAGCTCTTTGTCGACTCACACGGACTGATACGAGGTGAAGAAAATAAAAAAATTCAATTGAATTTTAAAAACAAAAATACAAATAGTGTGTCAGAGGGCGAAAAGAGTGGTTCAAGCCACATAATTATGAAACGAGCGACTCTACTCGACTAGCCCCTAGGCGAGCATGTGCTGCTCGTGCGATGAGTTAACCCTACTCGATTTCTTATCTCCCCTACATATATCTCATTCTATATCAATTTAAATTTTGAACAAAAACCTACTTAAAAAGCATGTTTTTATACTAAAATGGACTATTGAAAATGCTTATTTCCAACATGTCTTATTGATTAATTAAAAATTAAATAAATTGTCATTTTGAACTTGATTGGGATGATTCAATTCTTCAACCCGATTCCTATTATTCTCCATTTTCTCATCCTTACCTGCTCTAAACACTCCTTGCACATAAGACTCCACATCAATTATCTTATTTCCTTTTAAGTCCTCTGCATCTTTCGGTCCAGGAATAAACGGCGTTCTTGTCATCTCCAAGATCAAGTCCCAATCAACGGCCTTAAAAAATTCGTGACCCTTGATTTTCCTAACGGAAATTCTCTTCCGCGGTTCTTTCTCGAGCAATATCGCTATTAAGTCTCTTAACGGCGTTAACTCCCCCCTCAAATTGGGGGCATTCGACAGAATCCGATAGAAAGTGTCTTTGCGATCAATGCCTTTAAACGGCGTTGTGCCGTATAACATTTCGTACAGCATGATACCTAAGCACCACCAGTCGACGGAAAAATCATGGCCGTTGCCTAATATGATCTCAGGCGCGACATACTCCTCCGTCCCGACGAAAGAGTTGGGTTTCTGAACCGAGTCTAACTCGTAACTCATTGAGTCGGCGCCGAGTTCGACCTGATTAACTGAGTCCTCCGGCGAAATCCCCGAGTCACAGCACTTGAAGAAATGTGGAATTTTCTTTTTTTTCCTCGGCTCCATTTTGGGCATAGATTTTGTGGAAGAATGATCTTCTGGAGACACTGGAGAGAGTTTTGTTGATAAATCGAAATCTACCAGCATTAAATGGCCATTGTTTTGAATCAACACATTTTCTGGCTTCAAATCTCTGTAAACAATGCCCAATCCATGAAGATATTCCAGTGCCAACACCAATTCTGCAGCATAAAATCTAAAAAAGCCCAAAAAAAGTTCAATCAAAATTTAAATAATAAAGAGAGAAATTGGAAAAATAGAAAGAAATATATTACCTGATAATATCGTCGGAGAAGGTTTTGTCAGTTTGTTTTTTCTTTAAAGAAAGGAGATCAAGGCCGGGACAGTAATCAATTGCGTATCCAACAAACTTCTCTGTTTGTAAAACCCCATGAAGTTTAGGTAAAAGGGGATAATTTAAAGAGCCCAATACTTCTCTTTCGAACCAAATTCTTCTGTCATTCTGAGTTGAAGATCTTAGTATTGCTTTTAAAGCAAGCAATTCTCCATTCTCTGTTTGAACCAAGAAAACCACACCTTTTGCCCCACGGCCCAGGACAGATATTACATTCATATTCTTCAGGTCTAAAGAAGGCGTTTCGTGGTGGTGGTGGTCGCCGTCGTGCATGGCGGAGGTGACTGGTAAACTAACCAAAAACTTAAGAAGTTTCAGTTAAGGATTATTTCTGTAAATGCGAGGCGGATGAATTTTCAGGTGGGTTTCTGTTTGATCAAATTTTTGACATAAGGAAGAATTTAGACTGGTGTAAAGGGAGATTTGGATTTAAGAGTGGGGGGTGAAGAATATAATATACGAAAAAGAAAAATTGCTGAAGTACTTGCTTACGAGGAGGAATTGGAATATTTTACTGAATTGAGGAATTTTTCTTAAATGGCCTACATTAGTAGGTCAAGACATTATGGTCAATTTTTGTTTTATTTTTATTTTTTCAATATTGCATTTTTTTTTAATATATTAAAGATATCAAACTATTTTACTTTTATTCAAAGTAACCTTACAATCGAAAGATGATGATTAACTAGGCGGACTTTCCAAACTCGACAAGTTGAAGAAGCTAGGAGATTTTAGAAAGAAATTTGGAAAGTTTAAGGTACACCAACTCTCCAGACTTGATTTGTAGGACGAATTGGATGAGCATGTATGAGCTTTCTTCCATCTGATCGACTTTGGATAGTCGAAGCTCATCATCGTCTTGGATGTGTACAAAACTAAAGAGTAGAACTCTGAATATATATTTGTATGCACTTTCTTTTACGTCAATCTATTTATTAATATACTTGAAGGGAAGTTCGGAGAGCTTTCTTCGTCAATGATTTATGTAGTGGTTACGATACAGACAATGAGACGTGAAGGAATGGCCCAAAATCCTAAACCCAAAGAACAATTAAAAGAAATCGATTTTTATTATTATTTATATTTAAATATCATGAGTAAAAACTTTTAATTATGAAAACTACCTAAACAAATCTATCAAAGAAGTGTATAATTTTTATTTTCTCCCACTTCTATAATAATTAAAAAGTAAAATAAAATCCTCCCTGTAGGACTTGGCCGACTCAGAGTCCAAGTTTGGTAAGGAACCTACTTAATAACAGTAATGATGATTGAACAAGCTCAAAGACAGGGGAAAAAGACCAATTTGGAATCACTAGTTTGGTTTTTTTTTTTCAAACTGTTCAATCATGTGTTGACATGCGTCTCCTCGTTTTTTGAGCATGTCCGTGTGACATGATTGAGGTAATAAATGTTTGCAATTTTTACAGTTGAAAAAAATAAATGTTTGCGCTTTGAACAGATGGCTGTTTATAGAAGTAGCCAAATGCCCTAAAAGCAGCAATTGCTACCTGCCCGCCTACCAAACATGATCCTAATTCAGGACTTTTCAATGGTTAATGTATCAGTCGAAAGATAATGCATATTTGATATCATTGAACTAAAATAATATCGGACAGATTGGATTGCATATTGACGTGGGTTGAATTTTCATTTGGATCAGCTCAGGTCGTGACTCGTGCACAACCATGAGAGACTCGCCACGTATGGACCTACCTTGTCTGCATTTTTTGTGTCGAGCTCGCTTAGGACGTGTAACTTTTTTTTGTTTTATAATAATTTATTTTTTTTGATCAAGCTACAATGTCTGATATCTTGACATAATTCTTGATATAATACCAAATGATATCTTATTACTGAACGGTTTAAACTACAGTCAACTTTTTCTCCAATCATCTACTGCCACGTACACACATGTCAATCATTCTGTTATTTTTCTTTTGAAAAAGTAGATTATTTTTTTAAAAAAAATAAAAATAAAAACCCAAATAGGTCGGTCTAGAGAGTTAGACCTAACATTGTTCGACCCAAATTTATACCTTTATATTAAATTGTAAAAAAAACAACACTTCACAATATGATTTGACCCTACTTTTCCCCCATTTGACAACCATTATTTTTAAATTCTCTTTTTAAAATATTTATTTTTAACCACATATTCACACACAAAAATATTATGAACGTAAATTTAATTTTTTTTTTCAAATTTTTAACTACATATTATCCTAAAAATCACTGATCTTACCAAAAATCGTCACCTGTTGAATTCCGAGCTTGATCACGAACAAGATCTTCCGGTGCCTGAAACAAAGGCGTCGAGAGGTGTCCTCGTCGCCCCTACGATGCTTAAGTTAGACAGGGAAGTTGAGAGAGAATCTATGCTGAATATGTGTGAAAAAACGTACTTTGATAATGGATGAGAGTGCCATATTTATAGTGGTAGGTAGCGTAGTTCAAGTAGGATTTATCTCCTTATTTTCAGGAGTAAGTATTGAAATATAAGTAGGAGTTTAGACTTACCTTATTTGAAGTGTTACAAAAGATAAGATTCCTTCGTGATCTAGGATTCCTAGGTTGGGGTATCCGTGTAGGATTAGGGATCTTCATGAGTGAGGACATGTAATACTTGGTCAAGGAATACGCTGGATCTGCCCAAGTAAATATCCCGATGCCTAATATCCCGGCGACTCCCAAATTAGTTATTAGAGCAATTTGAAGAATTTCGTCCTCGGGAGTCTCGAGGACTCTACAAGCCCGATGACTAAGTGATCCAAACGGGGGAGATGGGACCTGTACCAGTCCTCGTGCTCGAGGTATGGGGAAATGCCATTATCAGAGGCCCACGTGCATTGACACCTAAAGCTCGGGAATTGGGTGTGGATGCAAATCAAGCCCTCGTTACATAGTCGTAGAGAAGTCGTCAGTTCTCTTGGATAGTCTGGTTATAGCTCGAGGAAATCGCTCCTGATAGTGATGCTCGGGGGTTAATAATGTGGTGGTGGATAAATGGCCGTTGGATGTTTGACACGTGGCTGGATCCAACGGCCCAGGTGGTGACCATTGGCATTCCCCTCTAAGGCCTATAAATACCCTCTCGCTTTTTCATTTTTCACCTTTTCACTGACTGTAAAAACTTCTCTGCGAGGTCGAGCTCGAGCAATCATAAGGTAAGGTTCGAGACTTTTAGCTATTATTTTTTAAGTTATATTTGAGAGATGTCGGGTAGTGAGGGTCATCGAGGTTCTGAGGGTTCAGTGATGGCGAGGATGTACGGACGTCGATTATTTTAACCGCAGTTCCCTTAGATGTTCGTCCTAGGACCCAGAGCAACATCGAGTTCAAGGCTTCCGACGATCAATGTCAGTTTAAAGAGCACTTGGCTCTGGCAGCAGCTCGAGAGTTTGGGCTGTCGCCTCGTTGCGACATTAGGTCCCCCGACCCTGAGGATAGGATGATAGGTGCTCGAGAGGGAGAGTTTGTTATCTTTAGGGATTCTTTAAAGGCTGGGTTTAGATGGCCCTTGCACCTATTTTTTACAAGTCTTTTGGTCGAGCATTCTATATGCCCGGGGTAGCTAGTGTCCAATGGCTGGAGGATGCTCATGTACTTTTTCATAGCCTGTAGGTACTTGGGTATCGAACCCTATGTCGACCTTTGTCGAATGGTGTTCGATCTCAAGCACCTACCCTAGTTCACTTGCTTTGCCTACTTGTCCACTCGAGGGGGGTTTAGGATCCCGAGCATGCCTACCTCTTTAAAGGGATGGAAGGACAAGTGGTTTTACGCAATTACTCAAGACCCCGATCTCCCTTTCTAGTCTAGTTGGGGGATCCCCGATGTTGCTAAATTTTGTGAGGGGCAAGCTTATTTCGAGTCTTTAAAATGTCATAGGCAGATGCTCGAGGATCTCGAACCTTTGGTATCGAGTATGAAAGACATCCTCGAGGAAGAAGTCCTCGATCTTGCTGATGTAAGAGGTGTTGAGGGTAGGGCCTTTTACCTATATTCCCTCATCGTGCTCATTCCTTGTGATGTGGTCGAACCGATGCCTTGTATTTTTATTGCAGGAATGTCTTTCGATCCCTCAGCCCTTAGGAAGTTTGTTTAGGCCAAGGCCAAGGAGCCTCAACCACAGGTCGCGCCCTCGACCAAAGGTAAAAAGAGGGCAAAGATCTCGAAGCCTGATAACATACCTCGAGGACCGGGAGAGAGTTCTCAAGCTCGGCCAAACACCCAGAGCCTTAGGCCTGTTCGACCGCCACCATCGTCACCCAGGGAACTTCCTCCAAGGCGAACACCCGAGGTCGTGGACCTCGAGGATAACTGTATCCCATCGGTGGCTTCAGTTATCGAGGATTTTGAAAGATGCCACTTAGTCCCGAGCATAGTGGTTAAGTATCAAGGCGACGTTGGTTTCGACGAGGGGATGAAGGCCCTCGAATTCTTGACTTTATAGGTAAATGCTTGACCTTTCTATGTATATTTTTCAGTTCGACTGAAGTATCTTTCTCGAGGATTAATGTTCAATGGTCGGTGCGCAGACTCTCAGTGTGGCAAAAGGCCTATCCTTACAAGGGATGGACGAGTCTTACAGAGTGGCAGGCCTCGTTGAGTCGGTTGAGTTGAGGGATAAGAGGGTGGAAGACCTTAAGGCCGAGTGCGAGGCTATGGTGAAGCAACTTGAAGAGACCAAGGCTGAAGCGCGTCGTGCTCTGGACGAACTGGGGTCAGCGAGGGATGAGGCCGAAGAGCTGAAGCTGGAGCTTGAGAGGGCATGTAAGGAATATGAGGCAAAGATGGTCGAGGAGAAGGCACGAGCTTGGGAGGACTTCAAAAAGTCCGAAGACTGTGATAGGCTGAAAGGGGAATACGCCTCGGGTACCTATCTTCATACTTTTAAGGAGGCACGGGCGTATCTTCTAGCAAATCTCCCCAATGTTCATCCCGATGACTTGAAGTCTGTGCCCAACATTGCAAACACGCTCGAGCTATCTGATTCCGAGGATCCTGGGAACGAGATGGAGGATGAAGAGGTCGAGGTTGACGTTGAAGCCACTTACCCTTCTCCCGAGGATTAGGAGGTTTTTTTTTTTTGAAAATTTGGTGATGTAATATGCCCAAGCATGGGCTTTTTTATGTTAATTTTTTGAAGTGTGTTGCCCAAGCATGGGCCTTTTATTTTGTTATGTTCGCCATGTTTAATACTTGACGACTCACTCGAAATTCAAAAAGGCTCTCGTCGTATCGGGCTCGACACCACATGATTAATGGTGCAAGTTCTGAGCTCAAGGACAAATATAATCGATCCAATTTCTGATTAGTGTCATGGACTTGAGGATGTGAAGAAGACGATTTTTAGAATTAAAACTCGACGACTTTTAAGAAATTTGAAACTTGACGATACTTAGGAATTAAGAACTCGATGACTTTTAAGAAATTTAAAACTCGACGATACTTAGGGATTAAAAACTCGATGGCTTTTAAGAAATTTAAAACTCAACGATACTTAGGAATTAAAAACTCGACGATACTTAGGGATTAAAACTTAACGATACTTAGGAATTAAAAACTCAACGACTTTTAAGAAATTTAAAACTTGACGATACTTAGGAATTAAAAACTCGACGATACTTAGGGATTAAAACTTGACGATACTTAGGAATTAAAAACTCGACTGAGGCCTAATATCCCGACGACTCCCAAATTAGTTATTAGAGCAATCTGAAGAACTTCGTCCTCGAGAGTCTCGAGGACCCTACAAGCCCGAGGACTAAGTGATCCAAACGGGGGAGATGGGACCCGTACCAGTCCTCGCTCGAGGTATGGAAAAATGCCATTATCAATCACTATTTAAAACTCTATTTTTTTCGAACAATAATAGTCAAATAGGGGCTTAATATTTATCCTCATCTCTTATCCTTATTTTCTATTAATTAATTTCATAACTATAATATTGTTGAAGCAATAAAAATAAACATTATTTTATTTTTTATTTAAATCCCAAACTATTTTGTGGATAATGGAGAGAGCCGACCACCACTTGGATACGAGTGTCAAATATTAGCAAGTAATCCAGTCGCAATTCCCAATCCATTCATTCTATCTCGCCTTTTGTGTGCCCAAAAAACCAGTAAATCCAGGCGAAGGCACATTCGAATTCTCCCATCTTTCTGTTGAATAATTCAACAGTATGATAAATGGAGTCACCAGCGCGACGTCGTCTTGTTATCCTTTCTTCTCACATCAACCCACCCGCGGAAATTTTGTGGCCCGTTTCTCCTCTTTTAGCTTCAACTTCTGCTTCTGAAAATGGCGAGAAGGATAATTACAGCAAAAGTGATTGTGTTTTTTGTAATATTATTCAAGGGGGAGCGCCTGCTTTAAAGGTATTATGTATATTTTTCTCTTTTTTTTTTATAGTTATTTTTACCTGATTTAGTTATGATTTAACGAAATAATTTTCTCCGGGCTTGATGAATTTCAGAAGTATAATAACAATAGAATCTGGGTTTTCCCCTTTCTTCTTTATTTTTGGATAAGCTCTAGAAAATAGTAATAGTAAATTTTGTTTTGACTATAAGTTACTTTTTAAGCTTAGATGAAAATGCTCTTAGAAAGTTTTATTAATGTGTTACTTTGTTCTAGTCTGATGCTCAGTTTTCAATTTAAATGCTATCCTAATGGGCAAGAAATTGCATATCCGTTGGTTCACTTTGGAGAGTTCAAATTTGGAATGTAGTTCTCAGTTTTGTTGCTAAATGGGGTCCTGATACTATTGCAGTCTCGGGTAAATGTGTAATTCAACTTTGTTTACAGAAAATTCATGGTGTAGAATGAGAAATAGTGAAACTGAAAGAGACAACAAGAAGTGGGACAAACAGAAAATTACTAGGGAAGAATCTCAATAATGCTGAATATTATCAATCAAAATTGATATTGTACTCCTATTTATATCAAAGAAATCGCCTCTTACGAGCTATGCTGCAAACATTTATTTGCATGAGTTTAAGCAGTCTCGATGACTACAGGGGTCAAATGAATCTCATCCTTCTTCACAGAAATAGTACTAAAACAGTAAAACCCTCAAGAAATCCTATAAAAGAAGCTAAAGTGTGGAAATTATGAGCTTTAGTAAACATGTTAGGTTTGAGCTATTCTTGAATAGGCTTAAAATTGAATCATAATCTGAATATTCACAATAATGCCCTCATGAGACTTTCATGTATATCTTCCAACATTCTTGATAAAGGCAACATGTAAACTTCTATACTTTGTGAGGAAGGTTAAAGAAAGATCTTTCATTGACTGGGATCTTGGTCTTTGGCACAAATGTCTTCCCTGCTAAAGAAAAACTCACAATTGGTATACTGGATTTAACCTAAGAAAAGATTTGAGTTTATTCAGTTTAGGAAAAGTGTCCTACTTTAGATATCCTTTGGTTGTCCATTATCTGTTAGCAGGAGGAAGTCTGGACAAAAGAAACAGAAGGAAAATTGGCACTATAAGGAGCATAAAATTCCAAATTTTTCCTGGACTCTTGCTTGCCACTAAAATTTGATATTTTGCACTCTTGACAAGCTAGCTATCAGCTCACTTTTCATTGCATAATTTTAGATTTTTCTTCTAAGCCATTATTAATATGAGATAACTTTTATTGAGCTTAAAATTTGTGTATTGATGACACCCCATATTAGTTCGGACTATTTCTGCAGCGGTGAAAGCTTTAATTGTTGTTATTATTTGGAAAATTAATAAAATCCAGAAATATTAATACAAGTAGATTTGAAGTGGCTTCCCGTGAAAAGGAAGGAAAATGGTTCGTCAAGGCTCTATGAAATTGTCACTGCTGTTTTTCACTTCTTTTCGATTTGTTTCTGGTGTGATCCTCTTGTCTACTTTGTTTGTAATTTGAGTGGGATCTTTAGGTGCATATCTGCCACCTTTTTTGCTTTGTTTTCTTATATTGCTTCATGCTTACCTTGTTTGAGAATTACAACTAAGTATTCATTGCATTACTTCGTATTTGAGTTTTTTATTCTTAGAAGTTACTCGAACTTTTTCTTTTCAATTTTTAAGATTCTCTCCAAGTTCCAAGTACCTTTTAAGTTGCTGTTTTTTATTTTCAAACAAACAAATATGTAAAACATAAGAATTTAAACTATGTTTATCACTATCTATTATTGCTCCTCTTAACTATTTATTGAATTCAATTTGATTATAGGTATATGAAGACGATGTATGCCTATGTATTTTGGATTCTAATCCATTGTGTCATGGGTAAGGTATCATCTGTCTAAGCCACCATTTAGTTTTAGGGTCTATTGCTTAATGTAGTGCTATTCTTCTGATGTACAAGGATTGATAGGATTTAATATTTCCATCACATTTTTTTTCAATGCATAAAATTCTGTCAAAATATCTCTGAATACAAAAATTCATGCGAGGAAATACTGGATGTCAGTCATGTGCGTATGGATGTTAACTATAGTTACCAGCACAGAGAATAATTGCTTTATCTTATTCAACTTGTTGCATGTTATAATCTCTAACCGCCTTTTTCAACGTCTTAGGCACTCGCTAATTATCCCAAAACGTCATTTTTCTTCATTGGATGCTACTCCTCCATCAGTAAGTTTTTCTATCACACATGATGAGTTATTCACCCTCTAAGTCTATCTTTTGAAGTTTGTAGAACAGACTAGATTCTTTTGGGTTTTTCCTCGAGTAGTTTTCAACATCAAAGACATTCTATCCATGCCCATAAATCTGTCTGTATGAATTGCAAATTCTCAAAATATGAAGCAATACTACAATTCTGTGCAAATAGCAAGGGTTAAATTTTAGTTACCCAATATCAATTTTAGATTCGTGTACAACTTAATTATTCACCCGTACTCAACAGGAAGGAGTTTTACTAAATTTCCATCATTTCTGGCAACTATTTTCCAGTTTTTAATTTCTTCTGTACCATTAGTCCACCTCCATGGCTTACTTAATTGTACTGTAGCTTTCAGTTTTAAAAGTTTAAACTTTTCTTTCTGCCTTACATAATGAAAAATTTTGCAGCTAAATAGCGAAGCATTATAGGAATGAGGGTTCTCGTCATTGTTTATTAGTTAGTGTCTCAAAAGCTTTCATTTATACATGTGTTTGAACCTGAATATGCTTCAACAAGGACAATCCTCATGCTCTCTACAAATGGACAGTTATGACATAATTTTGTGAAGTAGGTTGTTTAATATGAGAACATTCTGGATAATACTTTTTTATCAATCAACATGTAATCATACTGGACATAAGAGATGGCTCCATGTATTGGTCATAAAAGATGAGAACTCTATGCATCTCTAACTTAGATTGCCGCTATGCAGATTATAGGGGCCATGTGTTCAAAAGTACCTTTGATTAGCAATGCAGTCATGAAAGCCACTGGCTGTGGTGCGTACTTTTCCTTCCCCTCTATCATGTCTTCGTCGTCATCATTGCTATTTTATTTGGGAGGAGCATGTCGGGATTCGAGAGGGACTCTTGTTAGTAGATTTATGCAGTTTGATGGATGCTTGTTAGTATTTATTTAGCCCTCATTATTTCAAATTAAACTGAGAAGAATAGTAATTTTTTGAAAAATGTGTGGTTAAAAAAAAGGGAATATTTTTAGTTTACGTGTAATGATATTTTATGTGTGGTTGATAAGAAGAGAGAGAAAAATGAATTATAATTTAATGGGGAATAAGGGGGGCCAAACGGGGGCTTAATTAGGATACTTCATTATGATGGAAGTACTGTTGTTGGAAACTTTACTAATCTTCAAAACATATAGTGAAGAATTAAATAGTACAAATTCTTAATTTACCTTGTACAAAGGGCATTTGTCTTACACTGCCTTCTCTTATCTATTCATTGGTTCGAGAAAAAAAAGATTTTTGGATTGATAATAACTGTCTGTTAGCGATTGAATATTTACTCGCCCTTTGGGCATATACCCTGGTAGCTTTGGTCGGACCATCAATGTCTTTCCTACTAATTGAAAAATCTGGGCCCTTTCTACCCATTCTAAAACACAGCAGTTGTCCTTACAAGAGAATACCTGTAAGGATAACACGGTAGCAGATATTCCAATCCATGGAAATTAATAATAAATATTACAATTAGACATTATCAATAAATCCTAAAGGCTAAATGTAATATTTAATCGGGAAAGGTACACAATTCAGTCCCTTTCCATTGCAGTTGTATCTTAAGAAATTAAGTTTTCTGGACATCTTTTTCTTCCCTTTGCTTGAAAAATTGTAAAATGACTCTAATTGTGTCCCACATGGCAACCACTTGGGTATCCTTCCCTTAGAAGCTGGTATTAGAGGTAAGTTCAAATCGTGGTCCTAAATGAAAAACTACTCTTATTTCTTACTCAGCGCTAAAGTAATATGCTTGCGACATATTTGAGGCTGTTCCTGCATGTATAAAGTTTATGAAGCCTGAAGTTTTAATCTTGCAGATGCATTCAACTTGCTAGTTAACAATGGTGCTGCTGCCAGCCAAGTTGTATTCCATGTGAGTTCCCACAAAATTCCATTTTCTTCATTTCATTTTTTTAATTGAATCAAATATTTCATTATTTTATGTATTACTTTTTGATTAAGGTTAACTAATACTGTGTAATTTCCTTCTACATGGCAAGTTCAGACTCACATTCATATAATTCCTCGTAAAGCACATGATTGTTTGTGGGCCTCTGAGGTATGCAGTATCTTCTTTTCACGTTCTTTTTAATGTACAACTGAATCTATTCTTGATCAAGGCAAACACTTACAGAGTCTGAGGCGGCGCCCACTAAAATTAGACCAAGAGGCTGCACATTTCGCAAAGTGCATTCGTGACAATTTAACATTTTTGAACGACCTTGAAGCTATCAAGGTTCAAGGGCCAAGCATCCAGTCTCGTGCGGAACTAGAGAGATGATGATATTTATCCCGTCTGTATTTTATGTATATTGTATGAGCATTGCCTGATAATTTACAGGAGCCAATTTTTCTAGCTACTTCATTGAAGAACTATAGAAATCTGTTGCATTAATGGTGAAAATGATAGATATACTGATTCATGATTTCACTGTGAACCAGTAGAAGAATGTTACTTCTTTGGCTTGTGAGTCGAGTCAACCCACATGGATCATGTCGCCTGTTCCAAGAACTCCAATATAAAGGAGAAAGTTGTGATCGGAAACAGATAAATTGGTGGTTGCTTCAAGAAAATTGAAACAATATAGGAAACACTAATTTTACATGGCAGTGGGCCTTCCTAGCCCGATTGGCTATAATTTAACTCTGCACTTCGTTACATTCCTTCTACAAAATCTCTTTTATATGAAACTTCTTAGAGGCTGACGGGGGCATGAAATGTGCATGTCCACACTCCTTGATATAGATCTCAAGTATGTGCGCGAGAGTCCAAACATGATGCTATTTTCTGCCCCTTAAAATCTGACAGCCTATGATATATGCATGGAATAAGCCATTTTGTCGCATGTTTTTGCCCACCTACGTAACAGATGCGGTGGTGGTAGCAGTTGGTTGGATGAAAAGTGACTATTTTTTAAACAGTCCAATGATAGAACATCGTATCTTATTCTGTAAGGAAGTTGACAAAAAATTGTGACAATGTAGCATGGTTTTATATGCATTCATTGTCCTTATGGCATGATCTCGAAGGATTTCGAGTACAAGGCGATGTGAGATTTCAGTTGTAGGCAGGATAGTTTGACGGTGGTGCACGAATATAGTTAGCGTCGGTTATTGGTATTGCGTGTAGGCTAGATTTGGGCAGCAAGGCCTGGCTGGTATTCCAGCTTGCTTCCGAGCTAAGTCTTAGTCCACAAATTCGAGCGTCAAAGGCAGCACATGTTTGGCACATGATGGGCGGTTAATCCATGGTTTCAGCTGTTGCAGGCCCTTGGCAGTGATGTGAAGTGGCTTGGTGGTCAGTTTCCATGCAATTTTAGTTCACTTGTATCAGATTTGAATAATGCTATTTGTACATCATTGTACACAGATTGATGATATGGAAGAGTGAGAGAAAACAAAAGAGAAGGAAATACAAGAGTTTCAATTAATAAAATTCACATAACCAATCAGTACATCAATTTGTACACAATGATGTACAAATGATATTACTTATCAAATTTTCCTGTGTGGTTGATGGGTGCGCGGTTATTACATGGTTTTCTCAAATTTTTTTGTCACTCTTGTTTTTGTCCAAATATTATTCTAAAGTGCATTGAAATAAAGGGAAAATATTTTGTCGAACTTTTATAATTTTTTATTTATTTTGCTTTATTTTAAAATTAATGAATAGTATTGAAATCTCTACCTTACTAAATACAATAGTATAAAGTAATAATGAAAGTGAGTTTGACTTCTAAATTTGGAGAATCAAATCGTGTGTCTATTTTAAAAAGTTCAAATAAAGAATCTCTACAAACTTATTTTTAAAATTAACTCTCTAAAAAAAAACGTATTTCATTTGGAGTCTTTGAAGATGCTCTTACATGTTAGGAAGAAGAGCACAAATGTGTAGATTGATACAGAAGTGCTTAGATCAATGTGCCTAACTCCATCCATAGAATTCTATAATTTTTTTTTTCTCTAACACGCAACTGGAGGGCTACTAACAAATTACAAAATGATTTTGTACCTATGGTGGATAGGAGTTATCTTATCCATAATTGACATATGCCTACAATTTTTGACAATTCAACGTAGTCCTTAACCTATCTAGCTGGGCTTAGTCAGCTTTTCTTTGGTAAGTTCGTTTTACATCCTCCATTAAATTGTCAAAAAATGTAGGCTTGACCGCTGACATGACAACTCCACATAAACGATGGACATGTTTTATCTTACCTGCCATGAATAGAAGATCATTTTTAATACAAATTAATACCCTTCACCATCTTCGGGAGCTAAATGTTCTTTCATCTATGGTTGCGGATATTGGCAAAACAATCTACTCACTATATGTTGATTAGATTTTGGACAACTTATCCCGAACCTAATTCCTAAGGTCACATACCTATCGAACTATTGATTTAAGTCATCTTTGACGATTCATTCACAATTCGAAGTGCATATCATCACTATCTCTATTGTGTCTTTAGTGATGTTCAAGCCCATGAAAATTAGCCTAATAAGACAGTAGAAGTGTCCTAATTTCTTAGAATTGCAGAATATGAGGGTAATGAATTTCATCATAATTACATTCTAATCGGACAAACTTGTTGTCAAAAGAACCAAAATATCTATTGGGTGTAAAAATGTTCACATTTTGAAAAATTAATAAGGATTATGTTACTAATTAAACACTAGTTTGGTGGGAATGTTACAGACGGCTAAGCTTGTCCAGGAAGTGTTTATAAAGTTCTTAAATTATAAATTAATGTAAGTGAGTGATGGATAGGGGAGTAATATTTGTAAATCTTACGAAATATATGAATAAAAAATAATTTGATCGTTTATAAACATTAGCCAAAGTATAAATCTATATGTACATAATTATTGTACATAATGGATTACATAGGCCCATGTGGAAGAAATCTAGCCGTGAATGTGAAGTGTGGAAAAGTAAAAAATTGTAGACTACCAATAGATGCGCGCCACATGTCAATTATGTAATGTATTATGTAAATGATTATGTACTTTTAGCATGATCCTTAGCCAAATGTAGGCATTAACAATACCAAAAATGCTACATATACAGAAATGTTTGACAGTTTTTTTAACAGATTGCCAATTGATTTCATTGGATGTAGGACAAAAAACAAAGTAAATTAGCCAATGCAATATTTCCACATCGTCATCTGTAATGCTTTCTATACGTTTCATTTGTACAAGGAGCTTAATTCTACTATATATATAAAATAAACTACTTCGACACCCAAAACAACTCCAAAATAAAGGACAAAGTTATGTCGAAAACAAGCAGATTGATAGCTATTTCATAGGAAGATCAAAAAATGTTGTTTAAATATTATCAGCAAAGAGAACTGCATCGATTAAAGAATAAAATCAATAGAGTCTCATACGTCTGAAACAACAAAAGAGGCAACAAAAGAGCATCGCTAGGGAAAGCAGAAGCACAAATATGACTTGAAGTACCATCTTTATTGGAACATAGGTGAAAACCCACATTAAGAAGGAAAATACCCACAATAAAGCCTTCACGAAGAAGATAATTATAAAGAAGCTGACCCCATACTCAAAGACCTTCATCATAAAACCTGCAAATTATTAGAAAACTTATAAGGGTTCAGTAAATCGTGCATGCAATTAGTTGCTTCATATAAACCAGTTTTTAGTAAATGGCCCCTTCAAGAATTTGGAAATTATAAATTTTAAAACGAAAATGATTGGCCATCTATGTGTTGGACCAGTGGTTCAATTCACAGAACGAAATATTTTTGCCTGCCAAGCTTGATTTTTCACAATTAGCCATGTTTGACAATCATTATTTTCAAACTCTTTTTTCAACGTACTCATTTTCAATCACACGTACACAATAAAGCCCCTGTTTGAGAATCATTATTTGAGTCAAATGGAGTTTTGAATAGTGATTTTTTAGAGAATGTGTTATTAAAAAGTAGAAAAAAAGTTTTGGATTTAACTTCAAAAGGAACACAGACATCGAGTGCACCTCAACAAGTAATCCAAATTTGAAAATGTTGGGCGGAGACCTCCATAAACGT